CAATCATATAGTCATGTCCCCATTATATTTGTAGATCTTTTTATGCAATTTTAGAATATGTAATTTTTGTATTTTAATTCTATATCTTTTTTCAAATAAAATGATTTGAAATTAAATTGAGTAAAACGTTGAAAACCAAAAATGGGGATTTAAATGTGACGGAAGGAGTGATTTATTAAATGATTTTGAGTCTCTCTTCATCCTAAAATAGGCTTCCTTTTTAATTTTTTTAAACTTTCCAATATTATAATGAGTACAATTGAAATGTTTATTTTATATAAACCCATATTATGCTTCAAAATGTAATTATTAATTGATTTTAAGAAATATATCAAAAATGGATCCTAAAATTGGGACATAATGACTAACGAATACATATTTAAAATAATATAATAAGGCAATACATGAATTTATTGCAACGTATAGTTCACTTAAAGTTGGCGTTATTCAAACAAACCAAAATCCATGTAGATGTAAATGTTTATATATCATTATTAATTGTTATTTTCCCGTGATATTTTCACTTGACCAATGGGTATAGTTGTAATATGCTACTCCACGGTTATGGTAGGAGTTTGCAAGATTCTCAAGAAATGTCATATCCTAGAGCCGATTATTTACACTCGTGAAAATAGATTGATTAACGATGAAATGTGTTATGATCGGTGTCATTTGAAAAACGAGCATATTCAGCTTTTATCAAAGTTAACCAACGAGTAAAGACACGTGTATTCCTCTGTCATGGAAGCATTTGGAAAGAACATTGGTGGAATGTTTTTTGTTTATGGATATGGAGGAACACGTAAGACATTCAATTGAACTCAATCAGATCTTCGGGGATATGAATGCCTCTTTAGTTGGGGATTTACACACCTAAGAGTATTTGAACTCAATCAGATCTTCAAGAATTTTGAACCACAAAGTACTGAAAGTTGACACTCTGATCTTCGAGAATTAAATAATATTCAGCATCAACTATTCTCATATTTTTTTAAATTTGTGATAAACTTATCTCTCCGTGCATCGCACGGGAGATGCACTAGTATAAACTCAAAACTTCTTAATCACTACTCTATTGAATCACCAATTTCATCATAGACATTTTGATTCAGATGTTTTTTACTCTGGTGCTAGCGACACATGGGTAAAGTTAGGGGTGGGCACGGGCCCGTCTGAGGCAAGATTTGTATAAATCGGACTCGGCTTGTTTTTATTAAAACGGTCCGGGTCGAAACAAGTTTTCAAAATTTTAAAATTGAAATCAGACATAGCCTAACTAGTTTGAAACAAGCCGTTTCCACAGGCCAACGGGTCTGAACGTATCATGATGCTAAAATTAAAAAAATAAAGTGATAATAAATTGATAATAATTACATGGTCATTCACCATTAGTCCACAACAATGTACTATCCCCATTATCAATTTTAAGTCATCCAATACAAAAAAGAGGCCTGAGTGAAGACAAAACAATGACAAAGAGGGGTAAGGGCGTAACTCGTAAGGGCATTGTTCTCGGTGTAATTACTAATAACAATACAGAGTACTAAAAAGCGGTCCAGTCCGGATCTTGGATAATTTCAAAATGGAGAACCGGACCGACCCGACCCGTTATAAATATTTGAAAAGAGGACCCGCCCCTAACCCGGACCGAACGGCCCGAACCTGTCGGTTCGGTTTTGACTCCCGGTTCCTTGACCCGTTTGCCCACCTCTAGTTAAAGTGTGATCTTGAGGTCAATTACATGCAAAAGATTGATTTCATCAGATTAAACTAGATAAAATTCAATCACATCAGCTCTAAATTGATGAGATCATATAATATCTAAGATGATTAGATTATACTCCGTACCATATAAGATCTACCAATGAGATGAGGGGAAGGGAGAGAGCTTTACAAAAATCAAACTCAATATTCGATTTTGTCTCGTGAAAAATATATCGAACTTACACAAAAATATATCGAAGGTCTTTCACTCTTTTATCGAAGTTTAGCATATACTATGTTGTCATTATTGTCGACAAGCCAAAAGAGTGAAAGACCTCATAGAGTCATATTCCTGCTTTCCATCATCCCATCCCAAAATGTTATTTCAATTTGACTTTTTACAATCACTAATACTCCCTATGTTCCACAAAACCTTTCCGGTTTTGATTTTGGGGAAAAATAAAGAAAATGTAATTTTGATTAACTTTCCAATTTTACCCCTGATGTGATGAGAAAAAGTAGGGTAAATTTCACAAATGGTACCTGAACTTTAGCTGGAATTTCGAAGTGGTACCTGAACTTCAAATCCTTTCACAAAAATCCCTGAACTTACACAATCCTTTCACTAATGAGCCATTAGCCCGTTTCTAGGTTAACTTCCGGTCATTAGGGCCAAATTCGAATTTTATATATTTTAAAATTTTCAATTTGACCCCATTTCTTCTTTTCTNCTCCCTATGTTCCACAAAACCTTTCCGGTTTTGATTTTGGGGAAAAATAAAGAAAATGTAATTTTGATTAACTTTCCAATTTTACCCCTGATGTGATGAGAAAAAGTAGGGTAAATTTCACAAATGGTACCTGAACTTTAGCTGGAATTTCGAAGTGGTACCTGAACTTCAAATCCTTTCACAAAAATCCCTGAACTTACACAATCCTTTCACTAATGAGCCATTAGCCCGTTTCTAGGTTAACTTCCGGTCATTAGGGCCAAATTCGAATTTTATATATTTTAAAATTTTCAATTTGACCCCATTTCTTCTTTTCTATTCTTCCACGCCCCGCCGCCGCGGCCCGCTGGTCAAAGTCGCCGGAAAATGAACTTTTTCCGATTCCGGCGGGACCAATGTCATTCTCTTCGCCTTGAGACGAGGATCAATAATATCCAAACCATTTTGTCTAATTTGGCCTGTAACTTCTCGAATCTGAATTTTTCTACTCGAAAAAACCCTAAAATTCGAAATTGGATCCAAAATTGGGGGTTTTGCAAATCTTCATCAAATCTTGCAATTAAGGGGTCCTTGGAGGTCGCCCGGATGCCACGACCGCATTGGCGTTGGTGCCCGCCGTCAATTTCGCCGGCGTTGGCCGGAAAACGCTCCGACCCGCCGGCGGTTTCCGGCGGTCGTGGCATCCGGGCGACCTCCAAGGACCCCTCAATTGCAAGATTTGGTGAAGATTTGCAAAACCTCCAATTTTGGATCCAATTTCGAATTTTAGGGTTTTTTCGAGTAGAAAAATTTAGATTCGAGAAGTTACAGGCCAAATTAGACAAAATGGTTTGGATATTATTGATCCTCGTCTCAAGGCGAAGAGAATGACATTGGTCCCGCCGGAATCGGAAAAAGTTCATTTTCCTGTGACTTTGACCGGCGGGCGGCGGCGGCGGGGCGTGGAAGAAATGAAAAGAAGAAATGGGGTCAAATTAAAAATTTTAAAATATATAAAATTCGAATTTGGCCCTAATGACCGGAAGTTAACCTAGAAACGGGCTAATGGCTCATTAGTGAAAGGATTGTGTAAGTTCAGGGATTTTTGTGAAAGGATTTGAAGTTCAGGTACTACTTCGAAATTCCAGCTAAAGTTCAGGTACCATTTGTGAAATTTACCCGAAAAAGTAAGATGTGATAGTTTGGTTATTAGTGAAAAAGTATGATGTGATAGGTAGGGTATGAAAAGGTAGGAGTAAAAAAGTGGTTTTTTAATAGAAAGTGGAAGTATTTTGTGGAAAGCAAAAAACGAAAGAAGAAGAGTTTTGTAGAACGGATGGAGTATTATATTTTGACCATTAATATCTATATTCATATATAAATATATTTTTTAAAAAATTGATATTTTAAAACTACATTTCTTTAAGAATATATTGATATTAAATTTACATCATAGTACAATGTATTTTTTCTACAAATTGGAATTAAAGTTTTTAAACTTTGACCAAGAAAAATAAAATGTTAAGAACATTTCCAAAGGCAGAGAGTATATATTTTTGGCCAAAGCATGCTTGTTTATACGGATCTTCATTCGTTACGAATTAAGATGTGAATAAAATGACCGGCTAATAGCATGGATGTCTTTCGTGGTTTACAAAAAGGCGTCAAAATCATCTCTATTTTCAAAAGTTATTTGCAAAGTCTCTATGATTTCTAAATAGAGTAGAGATGCTCTTTACCTATTTTTAAAATAAAAATGACATTTATGTCTTTTCTTTTCTTCTATCTTGAAATTCTTATGTTTTATTTTGACTTTGTTATACAAATATATAAAATTAAATCTACGCTCCTCATCTCAAATTTAAAATTTTCAATTATGTATTTTTGAAAACAAAATATTTTTTTGGTAAATGTCACAAAAGAAAGAAAAATAATAAAAGTACGTGCTCGGCAATAATAATAATGAGTAATAAATATAGTCGTAATACTAAAAGTACAAAAATCAAATTTGTAGCTGCTGCGACTCTCGTGGAGGCGAAAATATGGGGACAAGTGGCGGCGGCGGTGTCGTAGTGAAATCCGGTGCTGGGAAGAAGTTGGGCACCGACGGCGAAACAGAGAAGAATGGCGGTGGGACAGAGTATATGGGGACAAGTGGCGGAGCCGGCGTTACTAAAGGTAAGCCCGGGCTGGGCGGAGTTACCCACGGGAAAACCGGCCGTGGGCCGTTTTGCGGCGGTGGAGAAAGATCCAATGGCGGTGGAAAGATTATGGCCGGCGAGTGAAAATTGGGTGGCGGAGGCGACGGAAGCAGGGGTGCGGGCGGGTGACAGGGTCGAAACCTCACGCCGATCCCTCGACGGTGGCACCTTCTAAGCCGATTAATTACTCCGCCGGCCACGACGAATCTTGGCTTTTCTCCATCTCTTTTTGGGGTAACCTCATGCGCATAGTTTGGGAAATCTCTTCCTTCCGCCTGCAGTGTTGTTGCAGTGATGACCAATATTACTAGCAAAATCACCCCAACTAATCTTGCCCTCTTCTCCATTGTCGTACTTCCGGAGTATATTCTATGGTCACCAAGCCTGAGCTAGGTATATATCTATGTATGTGTGTGTGTATATGTGTGTGTCTATATATATATATACACACACACACACACACATATATACTAGGTTGCACTGGGACGAGTGCGGGTACATATACGGGGACGGATTCGGGAATCGACATTTTTAAAAATTTAAGGATGCGGGGACGGTAAGGATTCGGCAACAAAAAATAATTAAAATATGAAATATAGGCATGTAAATGTTAAAAATAATATTCTACATAATCAAAATGGGTAAGAACCCAAACATTTACCGTGGGTAAGAACCCAATTTTTTAAATTCTCTGTACTAATACACTCCGTAGCACTATAGCAGAAAAAATTAGGTTGAAGCATCCAGGACCACATAGTTGTCTCCAACAAAAGTACAAAACAATTGGAAAGGATCGGCGGATCTATTCCGTCTGCTCTGGATCTGTTCGGAAGGTACAAATCAGTTCCGTCTGCTCCCGGAGCGGGAGGCGGCAGGATTCGTCTCAGAATTTCCGGATCCGTTCCTATTGAATACTCCGACGATTCCGAAGCTTTAGATGGGGATCCGGTTCGCCGGTCGCCGTCCCCGCCAGCGAATCCGTCCCCGCGTCGCTTCCGGAGCGGGAGGCGGCACCGAACCGCCGAACCCGTGCAACCTATATATATATATATATATATATATATATATATATATATATATATATATATATAGGTTCAAATGAGAATACGATCTTATGAAAGAAATAAGAATGAATGTGGTGCTTTAGATTGTGAGATCTAAGGGTCAGGATTACATCAAAATTAGGTGCACCAAAATGGTTTGAAAATGCATCATGTCGAAATGCACCAAAATCCTTTAAAAATACACTATCTCAAAATCTGAGTGCAGGATGTAATCTGAGCCGCACGATGCATCCGATCTAAAGGCTAGATTTTATTCTTATTTTTTCACCAAGGTGCATTCTCACCTGAACTGGCCCCTATATATATATATATATATATATATATATATACTCTCTCCGTCCGGTAATAAACTTCTTACTTTGACTTTTCTTCATTTTTAGTGAGGATTGATTGTAAGAAGGAAATGTCCAAAATACCCTTGTTACCCTCACTGCCCTAGAACCCCTGGAGGCTGGAGCACCCACCCCCGCCTCAGTTCCCACCATCGCCCACCCACCGCCGCCCCACCCCCGACCGCCGACATCCCCATCGTCACCACCTCCACCTCCGACCGCCGATTGTCCCCTCATCACCATCAGCCACACAATCATCCCCACCCACCACCATCACCATCTCTAGGAGAAAGAGAAAAAAGAAGGGGGAGAAAGATGAGAAGAAAATTAAGCACAGATTTAACACAGATCCACCGCCAACTCAGCTCCCACCACCGCTGTTTAGTCTATCATCGCCATGTAGTCCATTCACTGTCACCTCATCCCCATAGATCTAACACAGATATAAAAGAAAAAGAAGAAGAAGGGGGAGAAAGAAAAGGCATATGAAAAGAAAGGGGGGTGAGGGGAGAAAGAAGATGAGGATGAGAAAAAAAAGAAAAAGAAGTGAAGAAGAAGAAGAATCGAAGAGGAGGAGGAGAAGAATCGGCAGAGGAGAAGAAAATCGGCAGAGGAGGAGGAGAAGAAGAAGAGGGGAGTTGGGGAAGTGAGATAGAGATATGGGCTTTGGTCGAGAAAAAGGGGAGAGAAAGCAAAAAAAGAAAAAGAGATTTAATAAGAGGGGTAGTTTAGGAAGAATTGGGATGAAATGGTAGAATAGGAAGATTTTTTTCGGACGGGAAAAAAGGTAGAATAGGAAGATTATTCTTGGACGGAGGGAGTATATATATATATATATATATATATATATATATATATATATACACACATACATACATACATACATACATGCATACATACATACATACATACATACACTCCCTCCGTTCCACCAAACACTTCCTCTTTCGTTTTTTTTGTTTTCCACAAAACACTTCCATTCCAAATTTTTTCCCAAAATACCCCCAGCCCTAAAAGACTACCCATCCCACCCATACCCAGCCCTTTACTAACACACGTCGTCTCTCTCTCTCTTCCCTAAACCCTATCGTCACCTACGCCATCTATCCCGATCAAATTTTCCATGGCCTCATCCCTTGCTTCTCCAGATCTGGACTGGGATAAGTGAAAGCGATGAAGAGGTGCGACCTCCTAAGCGCAAGAGGGAGGTATGTTTTCCAGGCTACAACCCTGATGCATCTGATTCTTTAGACACCGATCCGTCCTGGAACTACCGGAAGAAATACCTTGGGGGTGACCATCTTCCGGACGGCGTTGAGTGGAATTTGTTACAATTCTCGTACGGATTACAACGGGCGGGGACGATGAACGGCCCCGGAAATAAAAATAAATAAAATTCTTAATTTATAATTTATTCAGAATATTACAAAATAAATAAAGTTGAAAAATAAATTTCTATATCTTCAAACAGACTTGTTGTATGAGGACGTTAAGCACTGGACAACGAGGACATTAAGCACTGGACTACGAGGACATTAAGCACTGGACAGTAATTCAAGGACGTTATGCACAGGGCTCCGAGGACATTATGCACTGGGCTGCGAGGACATTATGCACTAGGACAGAATGCAGCGAGGTCTTTATGAACTGAACCTGCAAAAACAAAACACCGTGGAAGGACAACGGAGTCACTGAAGCTGTCCTTAAGGTAGTAGTGCCCACCTACCGTACCTGAAAACGTGGGCACTCTCCTCCCAGGATAAAACCGCTATCGTGTGTGGAGATTGTACGGGCCAACCACACACCAAC